AAACCGATCCATCTCCCATTCTAAGTTACGTCCTTTGGCTGTTTACGGTTTTATTTCTTTTCTTTTTCTGCTGATGACAACAAAACCCGCCCAATTGGTACTCAAAACTAGCCCAATCGCGTTTTGAGGGGGGTCCACCGGTAAAAATCACGTTCCAGGGGGTAAAATACACGTGTTTTGGAGGGGTTCCCCAAACCGCGGACTTGGCAACACTGTAGCGTGCCAACTTGATGCTTCATCTGAAGACTGCTTAGATGTGTTCGACTTGAAGCAGCGCTGCTTAGACCGATCGGTGTGTGTCATCAAAGTACTGCGAGAGCTATAAGAGAGCGGACGTCTCTTTGTGCTTTCTCTCGCCGTACTTTGATGTCATACACCGATCGATCCGAGTCGAGCACACCTCTTTACTCTTGCGTGTCACATGACCGAGTGTAATCGCAGCCTTTGCGATTGAAAAATCGCGTTTTTTCATATCGCGATATTATCGCAAATGCAATTAATCGTTCAGCCCTAGTCTTTGGCCACTCAAACTCTCTTAATTATTGCCCTGATGGTGGAAATGAGTATTTTCAATGCTTTAGCTGTTTTCTTACAGCCACTTTCTATTTTGTGAAGCTCAACAATCTTGTTCAGTACATCAGAACTATATTCTTTGGTTTTACTCCTTGTGATGGATGATTAAGGGAATTTGGCCTTTGTGTTCCTCATATTTATAATTCTGTGGAACAGGAAGTCATGGCTGGAAAATTTCATGTTCATAATCACCCTGGTGTGTAAAAAAATGTAAATATGAATAGGAATATACTTCAGAGATATTTTACTCATAAGAATTTCTAGGGGTGCCAATAATGGTAGCCAACATGTATTGGAGAAAAACATTTATTTCATAATGTGAGTTTCCCCCCACTTTCAATTGTTTTACTTCAATGAAAGTTTACAATTTTGTGAATTTTTTGAATAAAAGATCAAAAAGATAAATGATACAGAATTATTTTGACGGCCATCTTTGCTCATATTTACCAAGAGTGCCAATATTAGTGGGCGGCACTGTATGAGGTAGCATCATTTTAAAAGTGTAATTATTGACATTGTCAAAATCATGTAAATTAGTAAAATCCATGAGCATTTTTATTATGCATTTTTCTAGTATTAAAATAATGCTGTAAATAAGAATCTGAAAAGAAAGAAACTTCAAATAAATATTTTAACGTGCGTGAATAAATCCAACCACTCCTATAGATTTAAGTTTTACTTTCCATAATCTATCAGGTAGGGTACAAGTGATTTCAAAACATTTCAGCCGGTTTATATATATATCGTGTATATATTATTTATCTCGTATAAGTTGCATTTGGTTGAGTTGCGCTGCAGTAAAGCGCTTTATTGTAGTAATACCGTGATTATCTCTTCAGCACGCTGCGCGAGCAGGACAAACAGCAATGCAGAATATTAATAACTATGACTGGGACTGTCATATACATAACATTATAATGAGAACACTATTGTAATAAAACAAATAAAACACACGTTGTTGCATGAAGAACGCGTCCACAAAAGGAGTTCATTCAGAGCCGCACAGGCACGTTCATGCATTCGGGGCATTTTGTGCAGATAGCCTATAACTTATAGGCTATAAGTCATAATATTAACGTTATGTTGTATAAATAACGAAACGTATTCTATATGAGATAAATGATGAGTTAAATCCCATTGATTAAAAACCTGCTGCTTCATTCTACTGGTCATCATCAGTGCACGCAGCTCAGAACAGAAATGCAGAACATTAATAACTACTGTCATATATATAACGTTATAATGAGAGCACTATTGTAAAAAATATTTTGAATTCTTAGGGTTTCGCTGCCGTTTAATGTTAACTATCTTTTAATCAAAACATAAAACATTATTTACCCCATTTGTATCTGCGAGGCATCCGTTACACATTTTCCCTGTGTGTTAACGTAATTATGACTGTCGAATGTCTGACTTGACTCTTGGTAATGAATTTTGCCCCACCCCCAAAACATATGATTCGTCTATCAGTCGACTATCGGCAAGATTCGAAAATTCTGATTCGACCATGAAAATCCTTAGTCGGGGACACCCCTAATAATTTTATAGAAACTGAAAAATTAAAAGAAAAAAATATTTTTAAATCCTTATACTTGATCCTAGTTCAGGGGTGCCCAAACTCGGTCCTGGAGGGCCGGTGTCCTGCAGAGTTTAGCTCCAACTTGCCTCAACACACCTGCCTGGAAGTTTCTAGTATGCCTAGTAAGACCTTGATTAGCTGCTTCAGGTGTGTTTGATTAGGGTTGGAGCTAAACTCTGCAGGACACTGGCCCTCCAGGACCAAGTTTGGGCACCCCTGTCCTAGTTAATTACTACTGGAAGAGTCATGGGGCCTTAGAATATGATTGTGGAAAGTCCATAACAGCCATTAAAAAGAAAAGTTTGAGAACCCCTACCCTATATAATTATGCTAGTTTAGGACTGCTTTTCATGTTGGTCATAACATAAGTGGGCGGTACTTGGGACCAGACGTTATGCCGCTAGTCAAATGTCTACCTGCATAATAACAAAGCTGTTTTGTAATACAGATCTAGCGTAATCCCGCTATGACTTCCTAGAGTTGTGGTTCCTCAGTCCACCCTGCATCCTCTGCCTCATCATCACTATGTTCAGCCCATCTGTGCACACACTTCCCTGCAGAACAAGCCGTCAGCTGAACAGCTACAAGCCCTAACCCGCATGACTCAGCCTGTGAAACCTTTAGAAATTTCATATCCTGCTTTTGGTTTTGTGTTTAATGGCTATACTTGATGAATATAGTTAGGAAATCCAAGCAAATGTAGAAAATGATGTAGAAAAAGGTTCTGATACTCAGACTGAGAGAGGTGGTAGGGAAATGTGTGGGTGTGTATGTGTTTGAGGTAGCAGACCTTGGGAATGTATGTAGAGTAGTTTGAGCTGCTCTGTGCAGCTGTGTCCTTCACTCACCCTCACGGAGCAGAGACCCTCCGGTCCTTTCAAGTGCATCATGCGTCCACCATGAGCTTTTTGAGTTGTTTTTTTTATAACTGGAACAGACACAAGGGCAGACCACTTCAGTTGGTGAGAGAAAATGGTTGGAAATTGCACAGTGTCTAAATGTCAGTGGTCATGCGTTTGTGGGCAGGGCAATTACGGTAGTGATTTGCACTCCAGATCATCAGAAACTTGCATATCCTTTTGCACGAGTGCCAGTCCTCAGTCATGAGTTCTGTGAATCTCTTTCAGGACTAGAACAGGTTCAGATCCATTTTACCAGTGACTTGACAGTCAAACCATGACATAACTGATTGTTACTACTTAACCTGCCCACAAATAAACATGCATTTATTATTTATTTTTTTTGCTTTGCTTTTTTTTTATTTTTATTTTTTTTTACAACAAATTTATTTTATTTAGCTGCACAACAGTTTTTAAACTTGATGATAAATTATTTCTTGAGCACCAAATCAGCATATTAGAATGTCATCTGAAAGATCATGTGAAACTGAAGACTGGAGTAATGACGCTGAAAATTCAGTTTTACCATCACAGAAATAATTTATATATTAAATTAGAAAACGGTTATTTTAAATTGTAATATTTCACAGAATTTTATTTTTTTCTGTATTTTTGATCAAACAGATGTAGCCTTGGTGAGCTTTAGCTACTTCTTTCAGAAACATGAAAAGAACTTACTGACCTCAAACTTTTAAACAGTAGTGCATGGTATTTGTAAATAAAATAATTTTATTTCAGATAAAATATATAGCGGCTCTGCAACACAACAAATGTTGCCCATCAACTGAATTAAAGAATCACACTGAACACTTTCAGTATTGATAGTTTCATTGATAGGAATTTAGTTTTGTTGCATTGGACTAGACAAATTGAGTTGCTTTTGTTTTGAAAACTACATTTATCATGCTTCCTGGATAATGACATTAGTTGAATTGAAACCAGCAGGTTCAAGGGGCAGGTGCGGGCTGATTTTCTGGCTCAGAACAGCCTTTTACATTGGCATGTGTAACAGTGCCAGATTGGGTGGAAAAGAGAGAAAATTGATGCTTTTTAAATCTATTAATCAATTGCTATAAACATTGGTGTGCTTAAAGAAAATGAGTACATATTTGCAAAGTTAAGAAAATAATTAAAGAAAACAGCAATTTCAACTTCAGAATGAAATAAAAGTGTTAAAAAGTATCACTTAGTCTCATCCATCTTTGTGTGCGTTTATTATGTGTGCTAAGACCTCTTTCCCATGTGTGTTGGCAGAACTCTTTGACCCGCAGCGCACCCCTCGTCAGTGAAGCTCAGGGCCGTAGTGGTGCTCGCTTCCACACCTCCTACGACAAGAGGTACGTCATCAAAACCATAAGCAGCGAGGACGTGGCTGAGATGCACAACATCCTCAAAAAGTACCACCAGGTGCGAACAAGCTCATACATTCCCCATGTTTTACCAATAATTTGTACATTTACATGCACATTTCTTGTGAGCCAGGTATAATGTATTTTTAATGTCTTTTTTTCACTGCAGTATATTGTGGAATGTCATGGTACCACACTGCTGCCACAGTTTCTAGGCATGTACCGCCTCACTGTAGATGGAGATGAGACTTATATGATAGTCACACGCAACGTTTTCAGTCACCGGTTGTCTGTGTATAAGAAATATGACCTGAAGGTAAGGATTATGAAAAATGACTGGCCAAGTCAAACCAGATGACGGTTATGATATAGTTTGACATGTTCCAGTTTTTCTTCTCTGTAGGGATCTACTGTTGCCAGAGAGGCAAGTGACAAAGAAAAGGTCAGTTTCACCCTCAAACACAAAAATCTGATCTGAATGTTTTCAATTTTGACTTTTCCGGTCTTTTTTGTTGGTTTTCTGTGTGTAGAGTGTATGTCGGGTCTCATTGCTTGTGTGTTTGAAGATGATTCTTTCTGTAGTGGCTAATCATTTGTCACTTCAAACACCTTAATTTACTGTGAAGCAGAGAGTGAGTATTAGAGTGAGGCGTGCTGGTTTTAGAGCGTCTGTGTGATTATCGGGTGCACAGATGTAGGCCTAGATCTATCCTATACTTAGGGTGTCAAGGTGAAGCAGAGTCCATGGTGCTTTTTTAAGATACGGAGATTAAAGCAAGAGACTGTAAGCTTCAGTAGCATCAACACTGAAAATAAAACGAATGATTTAATGACAGTGGTTGGGCTGTGTGCCTGTTCACAAGGTACTAGAACTTAACAAAGAAGAAATATTAAAGTTAGCTATGTATCCTTGTAATTTCACATGTCACAATTTGTATAGTCATGCATGGTGTATTTTTGTTCAACCAAAGAAATCCGTGTCTGTGTGTGTGTATATATAGTAATAAGTATAAGTAATCCTACTAGGCCAAGTTAAACTTCTCTGTACAACTCCAGCCCAAAGGCGGCCCATGAGTTAAAATAACAGATGGTCCACTGGTGGTCTGAGGGGCATGAGGTTACCCGACTCCTATTTTAATCCTTTTATTCTGTCACAGGGCCATAGACCCTAATCACTGGCACTTTGGAGGGGGATCAAAGGGGAAATTCTCACATTTTCTCCATTCATAGCTGCATAGGAAAAAAAATCACCAGCTTTGAACAACAGCACTCAAGTTTTTTGGAAACACTTGTTTTTTTGTGTTTTCTTCCACTAGAGATTACACTGCAAAAAAAAGAAAAAAAATTATAAAAACTGAAACTAAATTATAATTAAATATTATCAACTGTCTATAATCAATTAAATGTAATATAAAAAATTATTTTAATAATATATATTCTGAAAACTAGTTTTATGACACAATTTTGCACCAAATTTATCTTGTCGTTAATGATTTTTAGACATTTCTACTGAAAAACGACCCAAAATGCCGATTAGAGAAAGTATTAGTTAAAATTATTTTGCAGCCCATCTCTCATCTGTCACACAGATTTACTGTCACTGTAAAATCGAATGTCTGAATAAATGTTGAGCCTGTTGCTGTTTTGTTACAGACCAAATGTAGCTTTACAAAACAAAGGAGGAGTAGAAAGAAGAGTTCATTTTCTTCATATGTGATGCGATCTGGGAAAACCCGTCGGATGTCGCACTGGGACGTTTTCGGGAAATTCGAAAAATAGGTCGAATGTCAATTTTTTTGTCAAAATTAGGGTTTCATTCAATTATTATTCTATAACATCTTGTCTATCATCTCTGAAAATATCTTGGCAAAATTCACTTGTTTAGTGCAGAAAAATAGCGATTTATTGCAGCAAGCAGAAAAGACTGTGTCTTTCTCTCATGTTAAGAACACGCTGCGGAGGTGCTTTCTCTTAACACCACAAAAACAGTTAACCTATCAAAATAAACCACATAACATATGTAATAAAGGTGTATCAATGCACATTTCCCGCCAGTCCTGTGCAAACTACGGCACGCAAAGTTTTTTAAAATGTATTTATTTTTTTTATATCGCGAGATGGCGGAGCGCAAGAAAACAACACAGTCTGAAGCTGCTCACTTAGACGATCTTGCTCATCTCAGTCTTCTCAATCTTGGTGATGTCAGTGCTAGGGGTGTCGAAATTAATCGTTTCTTCAATGCATCGCGATGCAGACGAGGGCGATTCGGTATCGGTTCAGTAATAGACCATAAACGATTATAACGTACTGACGCTTTTCTGACGTCATTTGTCGCAGTAGCATACATTAGGCGCGTTCGGCTTGAAGCACCGCTGTGCAGAATGATCAGTGTATGACCAAGTATCGCGAGAGCGATAAGAGAGCAGACGGATCCTTATGCTTTCGCGGATGATGTCATACACTCATCCTGCGCAGCGCTGCTTCAAATCGAACGCGCCTAATGGCGGAGGGAGGTGAGACACGAGTGCGAGTAATTAAAAATGCTCCAACTACTTTAAAAGCCGACATCTGGCCACATTTCGGCTTTTATGAACAACCTGAGCACGACCTGGAGAAGACACACGCTGTGTGTAAATCATGTCACGCACAATGAAATATGTAGGGGGTAGGGATGGGCAAATGAAGCCTCTGACTGTTTCGGGAAAAGATTCAAATCTTCGAGTGTCTCGAAAACAGCGCCTTCTGGTGGTTAATAAAAAATACAGCAGCCAAAAGCCTGTGAAAGACGCTCCGTAGGACGAGGCATCTACCACGTATTCCACAGATCGATTCAAGTTACGTGCACAGATAAAAGCCTAACAGTGTTTGTGTTTGTTGAGTTTCTAATAAATTAATTTACCCATTAAACTGTGCAATTTAATACCAGTACGAATATCAGTATGATGTAATAGAAGAATAATGTAGCCTACTCATATGAATTGCATATGGCAAATATTGAATTTTTCTGAAATAATTTGTATTCTTCATATTACTTGTATGACTGGGTATCTAAAATGTAACTGAATAAGTCCGAATTAAAACTTATTCGTAAAGGGGGGGAAAAATTCGAGGGGAAGTCGTGGCCTAATGGTTAGAGAGTCGGACTCGTAACCCAAAGGTTGCGGGTTCGAGTCTCGTACCGGCAGGGATTGTAGGTGGGGGGAGTGAATGTACAGCGCTCTCTCCCCCCTTCAATAACACGACTGAGGTGCCCTTGAGCAAGGCACCGAACCCCCAACTGCTCCCCGGGCGCCGCAGCATAAATGGCTGCCCACTGCTCCGGGTGTGTGTTCACGGTGTGTGTGTTCACTGCTGTGTGTGTGCACTTTGGATGGGATAAATGCAGAGCACTAATTCCGAGTATGGGCCACCATACTTGGCCACATGTCACGTCACTTTTTCACTTTTTTCACTTTATCTGACTGCTTGTATTTATTGACAAAATTGTATAAATGTGAAGTCAAATTGAAAATTGCAGAGGATGCAGTGCATTGTGATGCATTGTGATGCATCGTGATATCGAATTGAACCAAATCGATGACATGATAACCGTAACCGAACCGTGAGACCAGTGTAGGTTCGCACCTCTAGTCAGTGCCCTAAAATATGTTATAATGGACTATTTCACATCCAGAGATGAAAGGATCAGATGATGAAGTTACTAAAGAGGAGGAGTCCGATGACAGTCTGTTATATGAACAGGTGTGCTGCGCTCGCTTTTCTAAATGTAAACTACAAGGTACACTATTCGTGCTATCTAAATAAACATACATGGGGTGATCAAAAGTTCAGAGACTATGCCCATGATAAACAACGGAAAACTGTCCTCTTCAGGGTGACGTTAGTTAGTCTGTTTGTGTAATGATGCAGTATAGCGCTCCTGACAGACGGCGATCGTTAAGTAGAAGTGAAAGTGAAACCCGTCTCACTTTAAACCCGTTTTTCTCAAAATTCCATTCCGGAAAATCATAGCTATCAGCCAAATTCAGATAGCCATAACTTTAGTTACGTTCAAGCTATGGACAAAATAAAAGGGCTTGAACGTAACAAAGAAAGGGCTTGAACCCAGCTTTCATATGGTATCAAAACCTAAAAAAGGAAATTTCACCATGTGTTGGGTTTTCCTAGATCACATCACATATGCTCTGTTAGTTTTCTAAGAAGAGCCTTTTTTTTTATTGTGCCTGTACATGTGTTGGTACAAATGTGGACTTTGAAGTAGCTTTCTCTGAAATATTTGCAAATCAAATATTTATGTGTTCTGGTTTTGCTTAAATGTGTAACTTTATTATTCTCACAATGACTTGTATCATTGAGATACTTTTGTGAAGTTTATAGCCACAAATACTTTTTCACTTAAATGTAAGTCAAACACTCTTGTAAAACAAGCTTGAGCCGTTTCTCACTAAACGCACATCAGATTATCCTCTTTCTCGGGTTTAGAGTTCTCATCTCAAGCCATGGTATTCTGGCAGTTACCCTAGGTTTTTAATAGGGCTGTGTATCACCAGCAAAGTCACGATACAACAAACTTTTTAGCGCTGCCCCGCAGTTTTATCAACTAAATAGCTTAATCGCTCAAGAGCTACATTATCTTTCTCAACAAGGAGCTGGTAGCATCATTGTTTCTAAAGGAATTAAAGCCACAGCTTTACTGTTAATAGAGAAACGCGGCAAAACGGTGGTAATTCATACATACACAGCCCCTCTCTCTCTCTGTCGTAAATGAACAGCTGATGAATTACACTTTTCTGAGAATAGAATGTTGAAGTGGAGATCGCTAAACTGCAAGCTAAAACTAAAACCAGTGTTTTCAGAAAGCAAGCGTGTTTATCCACAGTGGAGAGAGAGAGTGTGTGCACATGGTTGCCAGGTTGACAAAGATAAGTAACACACTTAGTAGATATTTCCGTATTGCGCAAGTGTGAAGCTCTGTTTTGGGGATTACGTCTCTTTATATCAGGCAACCCAGTTGTGTTCCTCTGCGGCCAGATTAAACCTTGTTGTAGCCTATATATGCTCTAGTCATTCTTTTTTAGAAACCTCGCACTTTTCTACTCAATTTTAAATGTTGTAAAATTGTAAACAAATTAAGCGTGGTCCACTGCTGCACACGTGCCACAATATCGATACAGGGCCAGCTGTATCGATGCTCGTATCGTCAAATCTCTGTGACGATACATCGTCGTATCGATATTTTGAACACAGCACTAGTTTTTAACTATGTTTTGTTTGTTTGTTTTAGAGGCAATGGTTAAAAGTAGATTTAAATATTTTTCTTTCTTCTGCTATTTTCATGTTTTCAACATGAAAATAGCATTAGAAGCTGTCATAGCATTAAGAAACAAACAAATGAACTAATAATAGGCATATACTATAATATGATTCAGTCCTCCAGCAAGTTAAACATTTCTCCTTTCGCTCAATGCCTGCCTACACTCTTAGAAAAAAAAACTAAAAGGTACGAAAGTACGAAGCTGTCACTGGGGCAGTACTCTTGAGGTACAAAAGCTAAAAGTTACATCTTTGTACCTCATTTACCCATAAATGGTACATATTAATATACCTTAAAGGTACTTTTCAAGTAGCATTCACAAGTCATTTTACTTTTATAATGTGACATATTTCTGAATGAAACCAGACATTAAGTGTATGAAATAAAAAATAGGCTCTTTGACAGGTGTTTGGAAGGTAGGGGTTAAAAAATAAATAATGTGCATTAATCTTTAATGGATGCAAACCATTTAATCAGTGCCCTCCCATAGATAGGTGTCTGTTCACTTACAGTGCTTTCCTCGACCAAACCTATCCCTAATACTCTTCAACCCATTAATAGGGCACACTTCGGCTATCTATGCCCTAGATTTCACAATGATATGATAGGTGTATGTTTGCTTTTCAAAGTTGGGAAATCTGCAAATGGTAAGAGGTTGTTAAAGTCCATTAATAAGGTTTTTACTGGAGTCTGGAGCAAGGATACCAAATAAGCTAATTACGCAGAATTGCTGGAGTCAGTTCATTCTGGAGGTTTAAATCACCCCAGAGGAAATATTTCCACCTGCATTCCTTTTCAATAGTTCGAGCGAGCCATAAAAATGTATTACTTAATTATTGAATAGTGAGTAATTACTTAACAGCCGAGTTCATATTGAGTTGTAGCTGATTTTTGTGATGTCAGTGCAGCGTCATTAACGCTATATATGAAAGCTCATTTCAATTGTAGGCCATTCTGAATATCTCTAAACACAAATGTAGATCAGCAGCTAGTTAAGCTGTTGCCTCATTTGTTCATTTGAGGGTACATGCAGCTGAACATGCCAAACAGGCTTTTTCTAATGAAACTAGAGCACCCCCTGCTGCGCCCTGTGATATTACATGACATGACCAGCATGTCAGGACCTGAATTCATTTTGATGTTAATGATCAACCTCTTTTGAAGCTCTTAAAAGTGTCTGCAAGTGCAAGTAAGCTTCTTTAACACACTAAATGTTGTTTCCCTCTTTTCCACCAGGCTAAAGAACTCCCCACGTACAAAGATAATGACTTTATCAATGATGGACAGAAAATATACATCGATGAAGAGAGTAAGAAAACCTTCCTTGATAAGCTACGAAAGGACGTGGAGGTAAATGATTGAGAAGAATTCGCTTTTTCACTCTGTCTGCCTGCTACGGATACAATGACTCATTTATCTTGAATACTCACTTTGTCACTTCCTCTTTCTCTCTCTTTTTCCTCCCTCATCTCTCTGTCTAGTTCCTTGCTTTACTGAAGTTGATGGACTACAGTCTTCTGGTTGGGATCCATGACGTGGAAAGGGCAGAACAAGAGGAGTTGGAGAGTGAAGATAATGAAGGAGAAGAGGAAGGAGAGAGTGATGGAGGCATTATCGGCACTCCTCCTGACAGTCCCAGTAACACTCTGGACAGCGCTAAACCACTCTTGCCGGGAGACTTCGACCCCAGTATTGACGTCTATGCCATCAAAAGCCATGACAGTGAGTGGGGCAGGAAGCATATGTGTTGTCTTATTGAAATGGGTTCTGTGCATATATTTCACTGTATATGATAAATACACTTTTTAACATATATATATATATATATATATATATATATATACTATATACCAAACCTTAAAGTCAGCATGAAATCAAAATTGGCCCCATTTCCTCTTTTAATGCATGTCCCTGTGGTTATTGTGAACAATTCATCCATGCATGATATTCTTAAAATAAAAGCGTTTATTAAAATTTTATACGTTGATGTCATCAAGAGAGGTAGGTGGTGAAAATAATTTTAATAATCAAACATTCCATTCTGCCTCCATTCTGGTACGTAATGGGCACCTTCCACAATCCAGTCAATTCTTGATTGATGAGCTAAGACCCATCCCACTTTTTCTACAATATGTCACATTATGAAATTTGTTGCAAGTTCTGTTTTCATAAATGATGAATGTAACTTTTTCCTCCAGATTCTCCCAGAAAGGAGGTCTATTTTATGGCTGTTATTGACATCCTGCAGCATTATGATGCCAAGAAAAAGGCCGCTCATGCAGCCAAGACAGTAAAGCATGGGGTGAGTGCTATGATTTTTTCATTTAAATTTCATTTTTCTTAATATTCAGAATTATATCACTGTAAAATTATTCTGCTAAATTTACTCTAAAAAACTAAATTCACTCTAAAAAACTAAATTCACCATAAAAACACTGTGACGGTGTTTCCAGTATTACGGCATGGCATATTGGTGCGTATATACAACTTATTACTATGTATTTCGTTCTTCAGGTAACTTCAATATTGACATTGTAACTTCAAGTTATATAATGTTAGTAAACCAATGTACTTGAACTACCAAAATCTGCTTTTTACTTTACAGTGTACCAGTTACTACCATAATAATGCAGGTGGTAAAATAAAATGCCACATGATGACTATGACCAATAGTCATGTGTAGGCGGTGCACAGGGTCCATACACTCAAAGACAAAAAAACAATCAGGGTAACACACATAATTTAAAAATAATGCAATAAACATAAACTAAATAAATAGAAAATGTAAAACAAATCTCACACATAATTAAAAAAAAATGCAATAAATATAAACTAACCAACAGAAAATGTAACACGAAACACTCTAATGTACATGACTGATAACAAAAATATGAAGAAACAAAACTATTTGAATAAAATATAATCATGTATGATGTGTCCCACAGGGACTTCTGGGCTTGTCTTTTCACTGCTCACCATAAATTATATAACTATTCGTAATTTTTACTTCCAAAAAACACAATTTTTATTGTCTTTTGTGATGTTAAACCATGTACAGTCTTGCACAGTATATGGTTAATTAAAAAGTTAATTTTTTGCAAAAAACATTAAAACTTTTTTTTTTGTCAGTGTATGGTTGTATAGAAGAAACATTATCAAATAATGAAAAAATACTTCTAAAATTACCACTACATTTTTGAGCTTGCACCAGGAGTACAGTACAGAGGGCAACTTTGCGTATTTCTCCCAAGCATCTCATTCATCATTTATGCTCTAAAGTGTATGCATGACTGAAACCTTTTATAGCTTTTATCAAGACATCGACCTCATGCTTCTTTCATCTTAGGCTGGGGCAGAGATTTCCACCGTGAACCCAGAGCAGTACTCCAAGAGATTCTATGACTTCATCACTACCATTCTGCCCTAGTCCGAGACAGCTGAGCTGAGTCCACAGGGATGAAGAGGGAGGCCAGCAGAGGGGTGTTGAACACTCACTCGCCCGCTCTGCCACAGGGGGGCACCCCTACAGCAGCTACAACAACCATTCGTTTACATTTGATTTTCATTTATTCTCTTTCTGTTTTGTGGGACCATGAGAGAGTGATGGAAAAGGACAACAGTTATAAATTTTTGGGGGGATAGGGCTTTTCACTGCTTTCTTATGCATGCCCCTTAATCTTGTTTGTTCCATTTGACATTTTTCTTGCCTTTTAAAGTGGAAGAGGACGGAGAGAGGAAAGAGAGCTCATGTGCTGGTCTGTGGCTCAGTTAGTAGAATTAGGTCTCTGAAAAAAGGAGGCCGAAACACAACTTCTCAATCGTTCTCTTACTGAATCATTCATCAAATCCCTAGCCGAACTCACTTCACGCAACCCTTGGCTGCCCGCTCTGCTTTACTCCACCGGGGTCAACGGCTTTGCGGAAAGGCACCTGAAGCACTTGACACCACGGCACCTGCTAACTCTCCTTACTCGCGTGGTCCTCTTCATTCTCTGGGCAGACTAACCAGAAACGCTCTTTGAGCCATTTACAAAAGGAGGACCCTAGCTTGCCTTGTGTGGACAGACAGCTGAATCTGACTATTTTGCAGGTTCCTTCAGTGTTCTGAGGCAAATGCGTTTGAAACGATGGCGAAGGTTCCGGGAGGGTTTTTTTTTTTTTGGCACCTGAAGCACTTGACACCACGGCACCTGCTAACTCTCCTTACTCGCGTGGTCCTCTTCATTCTCTGGGCAGACTAACCAGAAACGCTCTTTGAGCCATTTACAAAAGGAGGACCAATCGCCCCCTAACTTGCCTTGTGTGGACAGACAGCTGAATCTGACTGTTTTGCATGTTCCTTCAGTGTTCTGAGGCGTTTGAAACGGTGGCGAAGGTTCCGGTAGGTATTTTTTTTGGTTTGTTTTTTTTTTGGAGTTTGTTTTGCAGCAACTTGACAGGAGGGAGAATGAAGACACTGAGGCAGCAGGATCAGTGGTTTCTCTTCGGTCATCAGTGAATTCTGTTACATTAGTGATTCAGTTGCCATCAGCACCTTAAACTGTTGCACTTTTTATTAGGATCACTCGTCTGTTTCAAGCTGCAACGATAGCACTATGAGGCACTGTTCAACGCAGACTTGCCGTTTCATGTGTTCTCAGGCATACGCTTGTTCTCAACAGACAAAACAGTTTACCTCTTGCATCGTACCAGGACACACCGATTTGTGTTGTTTCAGTATTCCATGGAGGTTTGGGGAAGGGGTGCTTTGTTGTATTTTTTTTTCTTATTCATTTTAAAACATGAAATTGTGTATATGTCTCGTGCGTTTTGTTCGAAATTCTTTTGAACATTCAAATTGGCAGCAAAATAGATAAAATGTTGTATATTTTGCACATGATGAATGGAACCAAAATGTTCACGGAATCCTGTTGGTTCAGCAGTGGTATTTACAAGGGAAACATAATACCTGTAACAGAGGAGAATGCGTTTGTAAATGGCATTGAATTAGATGCAGGTAATATGACTTAGAGATTAACATTTGTTCAACTTTTCTAATTGAAAAAAGCCGCCTCATCCTATGTTGTTTAGACTTTTTGATCACTTGCACACATTTTTTTTCATTGAATTTTAATCCACCAGAATTGTAAAGCACCACTCCGTGATTCGGTAAAAGTGTTCTGATAAATGAAGAATGTTACTGTTTTAAATCATACAACACAAGTACTGTGTAAAAAAGAAAGGAAAAAGATGCATGTTGCATTATTTTTAGTGTTCAGTCTGGTTTAGTCCAGAGATGGTGTATATTCCATGCTTGGTCATATTTTTATTTTATTTTTTTCCCCCTTGCCCTAAACCCCCATCCCCCACCCCAGGTCTGTTTTTTTAAGATGGTCCCATACCTGCTTTATATACTGTGTTTTCAATGTATACACTGTGCAAGAGTCGTGCCTTTTTACTCCAAATTATTTAATTCCTTATTTTTTAACATTTTTTTCTCCCCTCCGTACAGAAGTTAAATATTATTTTCTAATAGGGTGGTTGTTGGGAAAAAAAATCCAGATTTTTATTTTATTTTTTAAGTGTTTTGATGTTTCAAAATGTGCTGTTGCTTCAAACGGATAGAAGACATTGCATTTTCTGTTCACAACAACACAACACAAATGGTCACAATTTCTCCTTGACTGGCTAATTCTATGTGCAAAGCCTTTTGGACAAGAGTGTGCATTGTGAATTTGTTGATATGAGTAGGTGTGGCTCTTGTTCTAGAGTTAATTGTAAATTGTGTTCAGGCTTTCTCCAAGCATTGTTATCTGGAAGTATTATCCGGCACCAATGTTACAGCGTCCTTGGTTAGTGTTTCATTTTCTTAATAAACTCACCGCTGCTTGTGCCCTTGGGAAACCGTTGCACAATGGGAAAAGAAGCATTTTTTATTGTTCTCATTGGGATGAAAACACACCCTGGTCTTATTGGTTGTAATATTCACAACAACAAAAACAGCACCATGGGCATGACAAAAGAGGCTGTTTTAGCGGCAGACTTTGATAGTGTCATCAGAGCATCGCTTCAGCTTCTGATACTGGATTCACACGCATCGATATATATATATATATATATATATGTATGTATATATGTATATGTGTGAATTTCACTAAATGTGAAAAGTGCTACAGTAAGATGCAGCTCACTTCACGCCTTCTTAAAAAAAGCCCTCCACCATGTTCTTCATTTGCCAAAAGCATTTTTTGCTCAATGTGTTCATTGATGGATAACTCGTCACATAAGCTTTGGGGAAAAATGCAATGTACTTTTAGCAATTCGATTTTTATTTTCTAAACATTTATGAATGCCGCGAACGGATGGATTTTATTGGGATATGCAGGTTTACACGCTTACTGAAAAACATCCCCTCGTTTGTGAAATGTTATAATCCAGATAGTGAAGGTAATAGAAGTGATTGGGAAGCGCTGGTTATCTGCATCACGCTCACAAATATGAGTATAAAAGTTGTTTTTGAGAGTAGCCAAAGGGGCGGCTGTCTCGTGTTATGATGTAAACCGATATACACTCCATTCCATATGCATTGCTCAAAACAATAAAGCACTTTGTCTGCAATTTACGGTGCAACGTATCGTCATGTTTTCTGCACTTTTAATAGTGTTTATATGGTATTTTCTGAGTCACGCAGAGAATTGGCTTTCATTTTATAAAAGCTTAATCAGTAGAATGCATGCCATTTTACAGTTTACTCAGTTAATAAACATTTATTGCTTAAATGTAAAACACTTTAAAAAAAAAAACATTTGCCTTCTGGACTCAAAACAGACAAAAATAAGCTGAACACAATTAAAGATAAGTACAAAAAGCGCACGGAATGAACCAATTATGAAATTAAATTACACAAGTCTGTATATATGGGCAGATTATTATTATATTTAATAAAGGAGTATAGCTTAATTGACCTTACTCAGAGTAGACGCCATATTTAATTTATTCTCGAATGAAAAGTAGGCTGTGCGGGATCTACCTGGATCATGATTCACCTGAAGCAACATTGAAAGTGCGTCTAAAAAAACTGGCGTCAAAATTCCGGCAAATATATTGTGTAACGGAAGTGATGTGGGAGCTTTACACAGTCCAGCACGTTGAGTGGTTTGTGTGTTTATCTTTCATTCGCTAAAAACAATATATATGGCGTCTGCCTCGAATGAAGTCCATAGCCTGCACAGGCCTGTTCATTGTAAAAGTATTGCAATGACTCGGGGTGAGCGCTCATTGTTGATTCAAATGAACATCCTGTTGCCAATTCGTTTGTAGATAATAAATGATGTCTTCTAAAGCATGTTAAACATTCTGTGTAAAAATCTGGACTGATAGTAACACCAATCTCATAGACAATCTATAGGCGGTCAGACAGCTTATATTTCTGCACAACGGGAACATGAAAAATTCGTGCATGAACACTCTTCTGGACTCTTGGATGTTAGTGATGTGTTTAAGAAGTCAACAGCTGAGAATGTAGACTCTCAAGACTTTACTCCTCTCACCACCCAAGTCCCAAATTCAGCACCTGGTCAGCAGGTTATAGGTGGGCACGGGAATAATTTAATTAAATAGTAAGCCTATGCTAAACTGGAATTTGAGAACGTAAAATTCGACACTATAACATAGGCTATTAGCTATGCGATTTTTAAAGGCCAGGGTCAAAAGTCACATCGACACCAGTTTCTTAGATCATAGACGAGTTCTTCTAGATTCTAAATACTCGCTTTGTTCAGGGCACAGTTTCGGAAACAGTTAATTGCTCAAAACAATAAAGCATCGTTAACTCGTTCCCTCGTTAACTTACATTTTGAGGCCTGCTCTTCTAAGCCTCGTTATTGACGTGACAAGTAGATCCTGCTTAAATAATAAGCTGCAACTTAAACGAATCCTTCACCATTACTCAGTGTACTGTCGAATTTAACACAAACTATTTCATATATATTTTCTTGCTACATTTGTTTCTATTTATTTAGCTTTGTTCCAGTACTCAATAACCAGTGTTCAAATATCGATTTCACATCTGTTAGCTTCTGGTCTCAGGACTTCTCTTTCCTCTTCCTTGATGCATTATCTTTATTTATTTTTTTTAATGTAGGTATGACTGACAGATACCAACATTTGGATGAATGGCCCACAAGGACTATAGGGGGAATGGGAAATAGAAAAGATCAGATAGGCCAGGCTTCATGCTTAATTAACACTGTTCTGTAGGCCAATCTATTTCTGGAGGACTTCCACACCAAGTACACCAAGAAAGGTTTTTATTTTTCTCGGATGAAAGCATAAGGTTAATGCTATAGTCTACGTCTCCTCCATTATTCACCCTTTTCTTCGGCTCCTTGAGATGACTTGCATGCTTCTATTCTTTTTCCACAGTTCCACCGGAGGAATAATGTTACCTCTTCAGCAA